ATTTCGTACAAGAAGGGTCGCTACTTATATCCATATGCGGAGTAGTACATCTAAATTTACTTTGTAGACTACTGGAAAGAAATATGTCTGATATTTGCCGAAAAAGTTCAGCACCAGGAACTTTTGAGACAATAGAGTATGAATACTCGTGTACTGCGCATATTCAACAACACTTCCAACAAACTAGGCAACGCGCTCCAGGAGCATTCCCATATTCCGTCAGTGGCAGGAAGCCTATCTACAAAGGCAGGATTAGAGGCACGAAATGCATTACGCGGGCAATGCTGACAAAGACGAGGGAGACTGGAGTGGCCATTTCTGTTTTATTGGTCCCCGTCAGCCAGACGCACCCAGACCCAGGTTTGGGGTCACCCGAACCTCGAATCAGTGGTCGTTAGCCATCAAGCGTTAATAAGACCAGTCTTCTGAGCCATGGTTCCGTCGTCCTGTTGGTTGCGATCGGGGATATTAATTTAAGTTGGAAGTGTGTCCACCGATCTGGTTACTGGACATGTCCATCCCCTTGTGCCTTGAGGTTTGATGCCCAATCCACGAGAGTAGTCGCCCAGCGACTAGTAGTATGTGCAGTCAAAAGACCCGAAAGCGTGTGCTATGCCAGTGTCAGCAAACCATAGTCCTAGCAGCTTGGTACGCGCTGACAGTTTCCTGACACCTGGTTCCCTGACGGTAGATATGCTTACGCTCCCGCTGGGTATACAGGTAGTGGGCATGGCTACCCAGTCATCCTCGCCCTTCTGACCCCTGTTAGGGTGTTGCTGGTGATAAATTCTGGTCAAGTGTATGTTGTGGACCAGGGGGTGTGGCGGCACGCCTAGGCGCGAGTACGGTCGTGCCAACCACTTGCGCCCCCCTCTGCCTACGGTCTTTTTGACTCTGTCTTGACACGGGGTCCAGGTGGAGGAGGAGGGGAGAGTGCGGTAAACGTTGTGAAAGTGTACTACCATTCTAAAATAACTCACGCGCAAGCCACCGTGTCTGCCATACCCTGCTGCGTAGCACACGGTGGACATCGTCGGAATCGACGGCCGAACTGTCAGTAGTACATGCAGAAGGAGACTACCGACAAAGACAAGGGAGCCCCAAGGCACATCGAGACGAGCGGGTTCCGTTTTTCAATCGGTGAACGCACTCCCACAGTACAAATAATTTTGAAACCTCAAGCCCGTAGGATGGCAGTTTGTCTTTCAAACCAAATCAGCATGACTAAACTTTCTTATAGCTAAAATTCGCCCTCGATTTTGGCTGAGGCCTACAAACAACCATAATTTCCTCCTGAATTACCACCACAGTTGAACATCCTGTGTCCATTTTCTATAAAAAAAGTGGCCGAATTTGCATAATCACCGATGATCAGTGATAAAATATAAAATCGCACATTTTTCGTGATTTCACTTTCGGGGTGGGCTGAACAGACTATCAAGCAAAAAGCGGTAGTAAATTGTGTGTGACGTCCCTTGGGATTATTTACCGTCATTATCACAAGCACTTACGTTAGCTCTCCTGTTAAAATGGATATTACGGAGTGAAGCTGTCGTGTACGCTAGATGGAGACTACTTATTACTCCAGAGTAGGCACGCGTCTAGTTATCCACACGAGTCCCTGCCCAAAACCTTAAATAGATCAAGACATTATGCATACGTGGTATAGTACAAAAAGTGTAAGAACCAACCGAGTTCCTCATCAGCAATTCCGAGAAATTCATCCACAATTTCTGACATTTGTTTGAGTACCAAGGTCTGCTCCTCATTCAGCTGAAGAAGGCAAAAGGGGCGGTATTAGACTTACATGTTTGAACCTGTCTGCACACAGTTTCTGATTAAAAAGTCAATTCGTCAATAGCAGATATACAGATAAAAGGCTCCGCTTTCCCTATTTTGGTCGAAATTTCCACACAGAGTGTTTCATAGCCCCGTGTTTAAGGACAAATAAAACCGTCTAGGCCCCAGATTCGGGCATGTGGTAGAGGGCTCTTTTCAACTGCCATTGTTCTAAGATGGGCATGCAGTACATGTGTATTTGATTACTTCCAGCGGGCGGCATGGACGTCGCTAACAAATAGCAAAAGGTAGACAAATGCAAACCAGAAACGTACAAGGGAAGACGCGATGACCATAAGTAAACAAACAAGGGCAGATTAGGACCAATTTGACCCAGAAACATAGACTATACTATCACGGATTCATGCCAAGAGTTGATGCGCTACAGATACTTTGAGAAGGGCCTGAATCGCGAACCAGACCGGATGCTGACGAATTGCCATCTGGATCATATTCCTGTCAGCTAGGCCTCATTCCCTCGATGTTCAGGGTCAGTAGATAGCAGGACTCAACAATTTCGCAATTCCCAGGCCCCAAAAGTTTCCCGTGAAAGGGATGCTTTGAGCGGAAGAGGTTCATTACCTCGCTCCTCCACTGCTAATTCAATTATCGTACGGTAGCATATTAATCAGTGAGCTTTACAGCGCTGTGGGAGTGGTAATTTTCGGTAACTGAAGTTAGTCATTATTTACGTGAGATGATATTACGTGGACAGCATTGACTTTATTCTAAAGTGGGTCAACGTTTAGAGGAGATAGCTTCCCCTAACTGTCTACCGTCAGCCGCGAATGGCCGAGTACGCGTACAATCCACCCCCGCCGGCCACTCAATTGCAGTGATCCGGTGCGCACCTTATACTTCTCAGATAAATACCTTAACTTGTTGATCTGAACAAAATTAAGTGTTAGGTATATTTTCTGCAACGATTTTATAACCAAAGCTTCCAACCGTCGTAAGTTTGAAGAATGTACACCGCCCTATACTTTGACACATGTTCGGATCACGTCGGGGTCACTAATGTAGATAATGAGTCGGTCTATCGCGAGCAGAATTATAAAGAACAAAGTAGCCGCGAGAATGCAGCGTGACGACTACCTGCTGTCGAAAGTTGTAAAATTTTTATGGCGCATTAAAAGAAAACGCCTTTTGTGTCACTACACATACGACTAATGATCACAGACTCTTCACGCCGGTAGAATGAGAAGGAACAAATCTGATAGGAGGAGGCAGTTTGGGCTGAAGTGTTTACCAAAGTTGTATCTAAGCTTACAGGCGTTGTTGAACTAATAAATTATTTAAAACTAAAGTCAGGATGCTCCACCTGTGCGTTGAAGCCCATAGTAGGACGCTCAAGTAGTTATTTAGGCAACTTTATCAGTAAAGATATGTAACACTGGGAGGAGAGTCGTATCTAATTTTTTAGCTGTTCTCATGCATGCATCAATGATGTTTCAAAAACTACCATCTGCCCCTTCAGACCTCCGGAAGTCGCGATTGTAAACAGTTCAGTAGTAGCCGATAGAGAAGGTCGTGGACGTCTCTGATGATGGGCCCGAGAGAGAATCCGAAACGCCAAAACAATAAACTTCTCGTTCCAGTGATCGCATCTTCTTCTTCTTCTTCTTCTTCCGAGTTCAGTGGTAGTGGTTCCACACAGAAGCCGGGTGGCAACATTATGAAGGTCATGACAAGGACTCTGTGTTAGTAACTGTGGATCCGAAGGGAGGGTGTGGAGGGATTTCGTCCAACGAGGATGGCGGAACGTACATCAATGGGAAGTATAAATGGTGCCAGCCCGCAATTCCAGACCCATTTGGTGCGACTCAGACACTTCTGTATGGTGGTAGCCATGTAGATCGAGATCTGCGTAGACTACAGTCGGCAATAAATCAGCTGGCACAACCACACTCCTTAACTACCAAAACAACACGATTTCGAAGGAGAAGGATGATCGTACGGGAAGCGAGGCGTCAGAGATACCATTAGCATGCCGCCATTGCGCTCAATGACGGGAGCTGGGAGTCAGACACCATAGAGGTGGTTGTGCAATAAGATCATTCTGCATTCTGCATGCACATCAATTTCCCTCAAGATGCATTCGGACGTGCATCCATCGCCTCAGGCGAGCACATTGAATGAGTCTCTAGTTGAGGGCTCATCTGAATTCCTGGTAGGAACTCCTTCATTTGCTTCTATTTAGTATGTTGTCAACCTGGGAGTGCTAATCCTCTAATTTCTTTCGTCCAGAAATTCCAGTATGAGACACCGAAAAGTAATGCTTTACAAAAAATTCTGTTGTCAGGTTTCACATGCACAAGAGCTCGACGGAAACTATGTATTTCTAAACTCCTAGACTATGGGCTAATTTAGGGGGCTAAACACTCCCAAGGAAACTGAAGTCCAGTCAGACAAACGCAGCTTGTAGGTCAATCTAATTAACAGGTGGTGAAGTGGGAAATGTGAACTTACAGCTGCTATAATTTCAGCTTTTGTGGCCGTGATACGGATCGTCTGTCTTCCAAAAATTCCACTGGACTGCTTTTGTCTTTTCGAAATTCCAGCTGCAAAGGCAAGGTGAGCAAAAGGAGCGTGTATAAAAAAGTGCATAACGAACGAAGGCAGAAGGTTGCTCATAATAGCACATCCTCCCACCAAGTAAAACGAGCGCCGGAATCTAGTGGTTTTTTTGCAGGGCCGTGTTAGCAGGAATCAGGGCCTTGACTTGACACTGATTCCTGACGGATGCGCCTCTTTGCACCCCACGCCGACCTAAGTGGTCACATGCACACGTACGATCAGTCGTGTCTTGGGTGATTCGCAAGCCGTGCACGTGAGTAAAAGAACCTTTGTTTAGCACCCAAGACGCAAAAAAGTCTGCAGCCTACTCATATGCCCTCAGGCTGGGCTATGGATTGGATTTTTTTGAAGACGCCTCAAGTCTCGCCGCCAGGTGATGATGCTACCCAAGACGACCAGCACAGGGTTCTGTAGAAATTGGATCTCTCTTTCCGGCGTGTTCCGTGTTCAACGGGAATTGACTCTGGACGCGGCAGTTAGGTCATATTCATCTTATCTAGCCTCTGGGACACACAAACTAGGGCGGGCTTCGCTATGCACGCGCCTTGTCTCTATGGGAAACGCGACACAGCACTCGAATTCAAATGGAACGAATAAGGTGTTGCTGGGGGAGACGGCTGTGGCGACTTCAGCGTGGTGATTTAGCCTGTAGCATCAGTACCGGTAATATTGCTGATGATGATGATGGTGGTGGTGGTGGTGGCGGCGGCGGTGATAATGATGATGATGATGATGAGGATGATGATGATGAGGATGAGGATGGCGATAATGGTGGTGATGCTGGTGGTGCTGATGATGGTGATGGTGATGGTGATGATGATGATGATGATGATGATGATGATGATGATGATGATGATGATGATGATGATGATGATGATGATGATGATGATGATGATGATGATGATGATGATGATGATGATGATGATGATGATGATGATGATGATGATGATGATGATGATGATGATAGTGGTGACGATGGTGATCGTGGTGATGGTGACGGTAATGGTGGTGGTGATTGCAGAAGGTTCCACGAAAACTTTTCTCAACGCCTACCGACAACTATGTGAGGCACATCTACCTGAAAATACTCGAGCGTACTACTCGTCCTGGGCAGAGAGAGATGAGGACACATTTGGAATGTACGGTATATGTCGATCGGGTGGCGCCTCGCCTGTTGTTTGAATGCTTTCCTTGCTCTGCCATTAACGGAATTCCGCGTTAACATATTCCCAGTTTTTGCGCGCGCGTACCCTTTTCTGTCCGTACACTTTTCGCCTCCAGAACGGGCCACACGCTACATCAATGCGGGGGCTAGATCGGGGTCCGACGGGCGTTACTTAGACCATGCACCCACAGCAAGTGTTAACATTCGGGACGTGGTGGCAGGCCCACACCGCGCCAGTGGGGATCCGAGTTGCTTCCAACTGTGCCAGCCACCGCGTACGTCATCTCCTGCCTCGGGTCTTCCTGACTCTGTCATGACACCTTGGCGAGGCATGGAAGGAGGGAGTGTGCTAGATGCAGTGCAAGTCTGCTATCACTATGACTAAACTCACACGCAAATTACCGTCCCTTCTCTCGCTCGGCTGTGGAAAACAAGGAAACCATGGACAAACTGTCGGTGGTGATGGTGGTGGCAGTGTTTGCTGTTGCTAATTTTATTAATGGTGAGAAGGAAGAAGAATAATAAAAAGAGAAAGAGGAGGAGGAATAGGAAGAGGAAGAAGATGATGATGATTATGATGATGATGATGATGATGATGATGATGAGGAGGAGGAGGAGGAGGAGGA